AGTGTCACTAGCAAATGTCAAACTGACATGACATGACAAACCTTGGCAATCTTGTTTCCTTGATGTTGGCAGCAACTTGTGGTCTCTTTCCCACATAAGGGTCTTTATCCAAAATATTTACCGCCTAAGGTTAATGGTGTGAAAACATATAGCCTAAAGCGTGTCGTAAGTGTAGGGCTTCTTATTAAAAAAAGATTTATTCAAAAATATGTTGTAATTGCTGACATCTTAGGCAACAAAGAAGTATGTGTTTACGCTTTATTATAATAGTATAGAAGGGAATGATCAGTGCAATAATGTGTTATGATTCTCTTTTGTTTGTTAAAAGTAATTAAAAATAAAATAAACAAAATAATAAGTACATTAACCCCCTTCCCATATATAGCGAATAATCAATTTTAAAAACAAGAACCTTCAGTAACGCGATTTTTGGATCTGTCCTGTTCAAAAGTGTTACACGGCGGGTTCTACAAAGCGATTGTCCATAACGCGGAACCATCAACCGCGTTATAGAGGTTCATTGTATTCACGAGTAAATATTTAAGACGAAATTTTAAGATTGTTATTTTGTATTTAAAGCGTAGTCGTTTGACGATTTTGTACGAATGTTACAGTCACGGAATAATAACCAACTTTTAAATGAGTATACGAAAAAATAATTTTTATTATCCGGCAGTTTGCCCTGTGGCGAGGTGGCAATTTGTTCAGCAATTTTTCTGAAAGTGGTACACCGCCAAAAGCACTGATTGTACTTCATTTGTATTTTCATTGTACTATTGTAAACAAACTCATTTTTCTCTTTGAAAAACAATATTTATTTATGGATTCCGGTAGTGAAAAGTTCATTTATTTCTTTACACTTTCGGAATATAATTCGACGGAATAATGCCGTGGAATAATTTAATTGGCATAAACTCTTTTAAAGTTCACTAAATTCATGTCAATTTTGACAGAAGAGTTAAAAGTTTTCCAATTTTCCGGTCGACGGAGTACGGGATTGCTTCATTCTGATAGCGTTTGGTATTTTGCCAATTTGGGAATGAAAGTGGCGTGTACTATACACGAATTGTGGCAGAAAAACGTTCACTGTTAATTAGGTATGGCGTATTTGTTCCAAAAAAAACATCTAAGATACTGTACTGTGTTTTAAATAATAATATTATGACCTTGTGTTTTTTGGTGCCGGAGACCTAATTTTAGTCCCTTCCCCTTTCCACCCTTTTCTTAAGAGGAAAGGATGGGGAGGAAGAGTGGATTTGACAGTGGAGGAGACGCATAGGAAGGGGAAATGTCCTCTTTATGTGCGTCTCCTCCTCCGTCAATTGAGGGTAGTCAACGCATCTGCAATTGCAGATGTCTATGGGCAGCGGTCGCTTCGCCATTTTGGCGATTTCTGGTGGCCGCTTGCTCGTTTGCCACCTTATGTTATAAAAAAAAAACCTTGAAAAGGAAAAGTGCCTTTTTGTACTTCAACTTATTTTATTTTCTAGTTAAAAAGATAGTCTTCTTACTAATATTGTAAATGCGAAAGTTTAGATGGATGTTAGTTAGAGTTTGTAGCCTAAACGGCTGAACGGATCTCTATAAAATTTGGCATAGATGTAAAAGATAGTCTGGAAGAATAAAAAGGCTTACTTTTTTAGTTTCACTCGGACGAAGTCGCGGGCTAAGGATAGTAAAGTAGTTATTGCTATGAAATCTACAATATCTATAATTTAATATCTAGTTCTTTTGAATTATTAAAACTGCATCATATCAAATAAAACATTATTTAAATAGTCAATTAAAATTTTATTGACTTTATAATACGCAAAGGTCAAATATAAAGTTGAGAGGAAAATATAAGATTAAAATTTGATATAAAACTGGCTTCTAATAAAATATTACAAAGAATAAAAATAATACATACCTTTATTTTTGTATTAAAAAACATAATATATCATTAGCATCTCCCCTACCTTATCCTTCACCCATAGTGTCGCACCGGGCTTTCGTCCTCCAAATAACTCTGTCTTCCGTCATCTTTCCATCTCTTTCTATGTCTACCTCTACCGGTATACCACATTCATAACTAACGTACTTGTTACATGCGATTCATCCCTCCTCATAACATGCCCATACCACGCTAACTTTTTACTCCGTATTTTCTCAACAAATGAAATATACTTGATGTTCTCATGCGGCTTCACCCGCATGAAATTGTAAAAACTTTATTTTATTTGTCAAATTATCAATTACAAATGTCAAAATGACATGACATGATGACAACCTTGCTTCCTTTATGTTGACAGTAACTTATAGTCTCTTTCCCACATTAGGGTTTTTATCCAAAATATTTACCCCCTAAGTTTAATGGCGTTAAATGTATAGCATAAAGCGTCACGCAAATGTAGGGCTTTTTATTTAAAAAAGGTATATTCAAAAATGTGTTGTAATTGCTGACATCTTAGGCAACAAAGAAGTGTGTTTACGCTTTATTAGAATAAGTATAGATAACATACAAATGTTTTATTTAAGGTCCACAATTAGTTAGTAACAATTCAACATAGAAGCATGGTTAGTTATAGCAATTATATTATTAGTACCCATAAATATAAATTAAATGTAGATTTTTTTGATGTTTCTAAACAGTGAGTTTCATTATCACTCCTCTCGTACTCTTCAAAATATATCACGTCTTAAATCACATTTACAATGTGTGTGAAAACCGGTTTATAGTTCACGTCTGCAGATATCGAAAATTTATAAACAGCATTTGTGAGTCTTTAACGGAGTAAGGAGCTTTGACGTCTTAAGTAAAACATACAATAATTATTACTAACAGTTTCCACGATTAGTGAATAGTAATGAATATGAAAATCTTAGTGTTAATATCACTAGTAACGCATATCAAGTGTGCCTGGCATTTTGACGCCCCTCCAATAGCAGCAGTTTCCCCTTGTCCAGCGAATGATAATATAACAGCTATATACATAAGTGACAAAGCGCCAGAAGACGAAAACAAATACGATGTGAAATTTAAATCGAAACTCCCAAATTACTCACAAGTTTATATTCAATTTGATTCAGAAGCATCGATTAAGTTGGTAAGTGTTCATGTAAGAAACCTCTAAGCCTTTTTAACTAGATACATCTTTTAATCCACACTCTTGCTCTCTAACGTTATTTCTAATACTATAGAGGTAGACCTAGAAAGAGATGGATGGATTGCATGAAAGGTGACATGATCATAAAGGGGGGATGACTGAGTTGTTGCATGATAAAATATGTGGAGGACAAAAACCTGTCGCGCCACTACGGGAGTAGGATAAGGAGGAAGTTGATGATTTCTCTTCAATCATAATTATAGCGCACATATATGAGACTAAACTAGCGCATAACTGTTTAGTCGCTCTTCGATTCATATGAGCTTATATAGAAGTGCCTTAATTTTTAGTTGTACAACTAAACAGTTGACTGGGCTACGAAAGAATCGACAATCGACACAACAGTTGAGCGATAGTTAAGTCAAAAATGTGCGCCGCTTTTACTCCGGTCATATTTCTCAAATCAAATAATTTATTACATAATCTCATTTCCAAAACATTTTAGTTATTCAAATCTTTACTTAGTTATACATTACAATTTCTAGGAACCCCCTTCTAGTAAGGCAGCTCGAGTTACCACGTCAGGGAAGTCTTTCCAAATAACATTCTTTAAAAACGCAGATTCTCTAGATTTCCAAGTATCTGGACCACATATTGGAGTAATACCTTATATCACCGGTTTCTATGTTAATGGTGATGAATATTGCAGTAATGCTTTAGTTGTGAGTTTATTTTTAATTTAAATAATGAAATACACCTAACAAACTAATTAAGTCCACCATTGTGCCAGTTTGCTTTACTCCAGTACAGTGGTAGAGCCCGCTTTAACATCTTAGCACGAATGGGTCGGCTCGCCAGGTGCAATAACACAACCACACAGAAGACAGTGAAGTTGGAGCAATTCTACGTTTCTTCTGAAGACTGTGGTGCCGCAGGCCAATTTTAGCCTTTTTCCTTTCCGCCTTTATTCTTATAAGAAAAGGATGAGAAGGGATTGTCGGTTGTCGGGGACTTGACATTGAGGGAGACGCATAGGAAGGGGAAATATTCTCTTTATGTACGTTTCCCTCTCATTCGATTAAGGGTAGGAAACGCATCCGCTATTCTGAATGTTTATGGTCAGTAGTTTCGCCATTTGTGCAGATTCAGATAGCCGCTTGTTCGTTTGCCACCTTTTGATATAAAAAAAACACAGAAATTGAAATAGCGCTAGACGAGAACTAGTTTCATCACGATGTTTTCCTTCACTATAAGAATAATAGGTAAAATTATTTTGTACTTGACAATGTTTATAACTTTAGGGTTATTTCGATAATCTAGTCAAGGGATATATGGATTCAGCATCGACGAAGATAGAAGAGCCTGATGAATTTTGTGGCAGAAGAAAAATTAAACATACCGAGCTCATTGTAAATGGGGTAGACACGAAGCCAGGAGACTGGCCGTGGCATGCTGCTATATTTAGATTTGAAAAGAGAATTTTCACTTACATATGCGGTGGGACTTTATTATCAAAATCATGGGTATTGACAGGTATGTTAATTTATTACACTAGTAGATTGTTGCTATTAAAAATCTAAGGACCTGTCCTACCATTGGCTGATAGAGACTCAGCTTAAAAATGACGTCGCTCATAAGGGTATAAAATCCGATATTTCCATCAAACATTTTACAAGTCCGATTGTTATCAGACAATTTACAATTTGGTGGGGCAGACCCTAAGAGTTTTTTTTTTGTTCTGACAAATTTTGCTTAAATTATTAATGTAATGCAACATTGGAACTTTTGTAACAGCCGCACATTGTGTCACAATAAGAGGAATTCCAGTATTGCCAGAAATATTAAACGTTATCCTTGGTAAATACAATTTAATCGGAGGTGATGTGGCAACTCAAGAAAAAGAGGTAAGTTAGCAATAAGCTCAACAGTATTAATCTAAGTATTCAAGTTACAGATGAACTGCCTTGCATCTCGCGAGGGGCGCAAATTACCCTCTAACATATAACGTATTATTATATACTGATCTATTAATCAAACTTCAGCAATCATATCATACTAATATTATAAACGCGAAAGTTTAGATGGATGGATTGATGGATGGATGTTGATTAGAGTTTGTAGCCTAAACGGCTGAACGCATTTCAATGAAATTTGGTATAGATGTATAGGATAGTCTGGAAAAACACATAGGCTACTTACTTT